CTTGCGGGCTCCATGAAGAGTCGCCTCCCGTCATGGTTGGAACTTGGCGATGGTTGAAGAATAAAACCGGTGGGGTCACAGTCACACTAGGTAGCCCGATCTTGCAATTGTAGCTGTCAGTGTTGTCGTTTCGGCGATGGTTTCGATCTCCGAGAGAGTCTATCGCATGGACATCGGGGGCGCGACGGGCGCATCGGTCGAGGCTGAAGGCAACAGCAAGGAAACATTGGCTGTTGGAATGGGAAAAGATCCTGGATCCTTCGCAAGAAGACGATGGCGGGAGAAACAAGCAAGAGTGGGGTTCCAGCCGCGCCCTGCGCTTGGCCCAAGCGCCCTAAAAATCCCTGCCATTGTTGGCTTCTCTCCGCCTTTGCCGATTTCCAACCGGGGTTTGCCGCTCTCAAAGCAGAGCAATTCAACAACGATTTATTGCGCCAGGTGTAATGGTACAGTTTACAAATACACTGGCATCCTTTATTCCTCCTTTTTTAGCAGGCCTTACTCATTTCGAGGTTCCACGATGCCGAACCCACCCCGGCCACCAATGGATTCGATTCCGCCTCACCTCAAACCTCTTCCCCGGACTTGGCGGCAAATTTCACCTGCTCCGAGACGAGCGCCGTGACTTGTGACACCCTCGGACCGGCATCGGTGCTTCATCGGGGCGCTCCGACGCCTGACCCGATGGTCGCACCACGACTGTCGACTCAGTACCGACTCGGCGAGCGGGAGCATCCACTCACGGCAGGAACCAGTAATGCTTATACCTCTCCGTCCATCGCTTCCATCGGTGCCGAAAGTGTTGATACCTCTGTGGGACTCTCACCTTCCACTGGCTGGGAGACGTTTACCATCGGCACCCTCTCGCAGCGAAACAAGTGCGGCCCGAAGGGTGGGTGGTCTGAGTCCGAGAGCTGCAAGGATCTTATGCCGAGCCCCCACCCAAGCACCGCAGCCGAGCCTTTGCAGCGCGCCTTAGTCACTAACCGCAATCCCCGGCTACGACCCGGTAAAAAGCTTGCTTGCTCGCGATGTAAGTTCAGTTGGCGCGCGCTTCAATTTGCAGATCGCCCAAAAAACCTGGTGCCCGGCGCATTGCCGCAAGTACCCGTGTACGCCCGGACTGAGTTGAACGGTCCTACAAGCGAGGAGTGGTGTGTCGACCATCGGCAGGACGATGGCGGAGCAGGTCTAGGAATGGTGAAGTTCACGAGCTTGTATGGACCGCGACGTAACAGTGTGTGACAGCCTTGAATGTGCCCGGCTTTCGTAGGTGACCCGTATGCTGGCCACCCAAGGCAACCGATCAGTGGGTGGCAGTTCACCGATTAGCCCAATGAGTTTCGAGCATGTTGGGCGGACTGCCGGCTTCCATGCCGTGGGATGAGCAAGACACTGAAACAAGGGTCCCTCAAGGCCTGACAAAACATGCAGCGTGGACAAATGTCGGCAGGTGCGAGAAATCGTGGGGTGGGATATGTGGCGAAAGATGCACTATGGAGGTGGTAGTTTCTGAGAGCTTACTGGATGTTCACCTAGCGAGAAAAGGCCCCTGTCAAGCCACCCAGATCAGTCATTGGCGGCGTTGCAGCACTTGCATGCGGGACGTGCAGGTGGGATGGTCAGTAAAAGGTCCCTACCGAAATCTTGCCGCCATTATATATGGGATTTTTCTTCTCCCTAGGTGTTGGAACAACGGTTGCAAGGTCTAAACTCCATCCCATCCACCATCCTCGTTCTAGTTGGATGAAATACTACCGAAACGGTAACCCCTTCCCAACATCGCTCCGTCGTCTATGCCTGTCAATCCATGAAACACCGCGACACTCTGAGCCACACCAAGCCCCGCATGGCACCTTTGACATGCGTATTCCAGCGGTCACACACGGGAGTTCCTCGGTGCCAGGGCTTATGCCATGTCACAACGCATCGCGTCTCAACATCTCATCCGATTTTGAAGCGGCAGTTCGGGATTTGGTCAACAGATTTCCGACTAACACGCTTGTCCACGATGTTACCTTCTCGGATCAAACCATCTGCTCCTAAACGCTGAGACCGGAGTCATCACAAGATTGGGAATCACGGAAGGAAACTATCGAGAGCTTTCACCCTCATTAAATCATGACTTGAAAGATGTTTTCATACTTTTTACTGATCTCACTCATAGCCGGAAAATGCACAAGCTTCAATTTCGGAAGTGGAAGTGGAGGAAGTATACCCAGAAGCAGCCACAGGCTCATGTCTTGCCAATTATCGAATCGCAAAACCCCGGAGAAGACATGCATACGATCTCTGCAGAGGAGAGCCCAGATTCACTATGAATTCATACCCAAGTTGGATGGCACTGATGACGGAGGTAGGCCGTTCGGCATGACCTTCTACAAAGCCCCGGTGGACGGTAAACTCGTTCAACAGCTCAATGTTTTACCCTACAGCCGCCCTCAGGAATTCCCATATTCACGTAAGTGAGGGCTGATTGAACAAGGTTTTTCATGAACCGTTTCTAATTTTAGAACTCGCTTGACTATAGCCATGCTGTCTTTCCTCACTGGATACGCGATGTTGCCGATAACGGGTTTCCTCCCAGCCAACCTGGCGGTACCTGCTCTAAATTGTAACCTCACCACACCCTCAATACCCTTCCCCGTATTCAGCCTAACAGATTCGGATGTTAATGGTATGCTAGGGGGCAATTGGGCCGGAAAATGGGTTTCACTTTTCTTTTGATGGTACCGAATGACATGTCATTGAAACAGGATAAAGTGTCCCGAAGTAACCCGAAGATTTTTTCCGCGAGAAGTAATTGATAATATTACATCGTGGCAATATCCAGAAACAGGATGGAGGCTATCTCCCAACAGTTTGACCAGAACCCAACAGACGGCGGCAGAAGTACAAACTCCGTGTCCCACTCCGCCACCAGAACCCACTGGATTTCCATCGTTAAACTGAACTCGTTTCCACGCTGTTACTTTGACTATAAACACTGAAAGAAAATGATCTTCTCAAAACCGTACTTCATCCTCCTCGCGGCCCACGTGATCGCCGCCTCCGCCACTCCCTTCGTCTCCCACCGGGAGGCACCGTCGCCTCCCAACAATTATGCATCTTCTCTGACCTGCGCCAACGTCCGCTGCGCCGGGGGTACCCGCTGCGCCATGATTGACGGCCGGCCTCGTTGCATCCCACACGCCGATCGCGGAGAGCCCTGTGGCGACGTCATCTGCCCTCTGGCAACAACGTGCTGCAACCCACTACGCAGCATTTGCGTCAAGCCGGGGGTCAGGTGTGTTATGAAGGGTGAAGACGAGACGGAGGTTTAGGACTGTTGGCAAGTGCCTGCACTTGGAGGGTTAGAGTATGAAGGGTTGAGTGCCTCCGCGATTGCAAATGTGGGACACGTTGACTGAAACAAAATAGAAACTGGATGCCATGGGGGACTTTAGGTGGAAATGAAAAGAAAACCTGGGTAGAAAGGGTTGAAAAGCAATGGGCTCTCACCCGTTTTTGATGTCCGGTCCCACTGGACGCCATTACTGGGAACAATAAGATCGGCTGGGTCTGTGGGGTGGTTTTTCCGAGCCACGGTTCATGCCATTGGCCAAACTTGTCAAAGGTTGTTCACCTTCAACTTCTTCGGCTAGACCTGAGGCTCCTAGCTCTGGTATTCATTTGATCACCAACTTTCCCCAGCTGGGCCAACAACTTCTTGATGCAGCATTTGGTGACCTCAGCAAACTCGTCCGCCCGGAAAACAGATATGAAATCCTGATATCATGTCTAGGAACACCAGCGATCCTCTGTCGGACTTTCGGGGCAAACCCGGCGCATAGAAAGTTGCTGAATAAGTATCTTTGCCACGTTGCCAGACTAACGGTGATGAATCTGGGCGAGCATCCGATAACTTCTGCGATTTGTGGGCTGAAAATTGCATCTCAAACTAGATTTGAGCAGCTGCCATTTCTTATCAGCCTCTTTTGTTCTGCAATAGGTTGCCACCAAGTACAGATGCATCTAGGACTCCTTGGATTCAAATGGGGCAAGGACGTTGACGTCGTGTCTCAGTAGCCTTTACATATATTGAATGTATTGTATCTACGGCGGTTTCTCTGCATATTATCCCATAATCGCCATGTTGAAAAGTACCGCTCGTTACCTCTACTTACAAGACCGCCTCAACGTCATACTCCCTCATCAAGTTCACAATCGGCAAAAACAACCTCCCTTCATCCTCATCTCTCAAATTCTTCACATCCTCCCATGTCCTCCAAAACCAGCCTTCACACTTTTCAGGCTCCGTCGTCTGTTTGAATCAGGAAACACATTTCATCAAACGTGGAGACGTTTCTAGGCGAACTCACCTCCGGTTCTTGCCCCTCGTCAACCCTCCTGCAAACCACAAACAGCGTGATGTAATGCTTTCCACTCTCCTCAAAAACATCATTCGTCACAGCAACAACCTTCTCCGCCTTGACCACCAGCCCTGTCTCCTCGAGCGTTTCCCGCTCAGCGCATTGCAGCGGTGTCTCCCCGAATTCGAGATGACCTCCAGGGAACTGCCAATTTCCTAGCCACTTCTTAGTCTATGCATCATCCAATGAGAAAATGAGACGTACCGATCCCATGCGCATTCCCCTTGCGAATCCCCATGACCATTTTTCCCTCTGCAGATTTCACAACGGCTGCGACGCCGACACGGGGAACCGCAGTTGCCATGATGCCATTCAGTTTACCGCAAAACCGCTCAAAAGCAAACCCAACAGCTCAAGACGGTACGAACCAAAAAACAGTGGGGTTTGGTGGGCATGGGAACGTCGTTGGTGCCCTACCGGCACCCCCTGAGTCTGACCCCGCCCCATTCCCAGTTGCAGCCCACACTGAGTCATCCCAACCCCACCACCCGCAATGCCGCACCGCCAAAACGTCAGCACTCCACTCCGCCAACGTTCCACAATGACAAAACCTGGAATACCAGATTGCTACTCCAACAACCAATAGCAGCCCTGCTAGCGCAATCGGTAGCGCGTAGGACTTCTACTGTATCTTGGAAATCCTAAGGCTGTGGGTTCGAGTCCCACGTGGGGTGCACATTTGCTTTTTGCATTGTCTTGGGGCATAGCTTCACTTTTTTGTCTTGTTGTTCATTTCGGTGTGGGATGGTGATTGCGTCGTGCGTTTTTGGGTGTGCCTGTTGACTTGGTGTGTTTTGTTGCGAACAAAACAACCCCTCGGCGGCACTCCCGTCACAGTGGCAGTTGGCTGGCACGACCAAAATCCCAGTACATTCTGTGACATCAGGTGCATCGCTCACAAAACCAAATATGTCCATTCACTGTCTGTCAACCTCAAGGGGTATCAATCCCACCAAGCATGATCCAAGCCATCCAAACCAGCGCTCTACCCAACCCACTCTATGTAAATCCCAACCATGCAAGGCCGTTACTATGTAACATTAAAATCATCCACATCATAGATAGAAAATATGTGTCAAGTCATGAGTCGTCATATACAACCCCCTCACCTTGCCATTACGCACCACTCCTACCTCAGTCCTTCCGTCCCCTTCTCCACCACAAATCTCACCGGCTTCTTCGTCCTCCTCGTGGTCGCTCCGCGCGGAGGGATGACGGGTCTCATCACCGGTCCGGGTCCATGGACCTTGAAGTTCCCTGCCTTGGGATTCACCACAATCCCTCCACCGACACCGCCTGCCCCCATCTTCCCACCTTGGACGGGCTTCACGCCAGGTATCTGCCAGCCCTCCTTTGTTCCCTTTCCGCGCTCGTCAAAGCCCCATCTCTCGACACCGCCGCCGTGCAGCCAGCCGCCAAGGTTCTTGCACTGGCTGACGTCAACCCATTCCAGACGACCGCACCCTTCCAGCACGTTTTCGATGCCATTTCCTGTGACACGGACACATCCTCGAACACTGAGACCGCGAAGCTCGTTGAGGTGGAGGGCGATACACCCTAAACTGGCGTCGCTAACTGCGCTGCCGCAAAATGCGAGACGGAGTTCGCGAAGATGGGGAAGGCCGAGGGCGACCACTTCTGTGGCGGTATCCGACAATGCGCAGCAGAAGCTGAGATCCAGATGGGTTAGGTTTTTGGCGGCATTGACCAATGCGATGATGCTGTTGTCGGATAGGTAGGTGCAGTCCGCGAGACAGAGATGGGTGAGCTTTTCGAAACGATACGGCGCCCAGGCTTGGAAGCCTGCGTCCGTGATGGATGTACAACGGGTGAGAGACAAAGACTGGAGGCGGGTCGCTGCGTGGGCCGCGAGATGAGCCATGGATCGATCGGTAATGTGCTTGCAGTATGACAGATTGAGACGGCGTAGCTTGGGACATCCAATGACAGTTCCCGGGGGAGGGGGAGTAGGAGTGTTGGGGGTGGCATTCTTGTCACCCCGCTGCTGGTTCTGCGATCCTCTGCGCCCCTTGGCGGTCGAGCTGGAGATGACAACATTCTTGTTGTCACGAGGTGGCGCCGGCTCGGGAACAACCCAGCCAACGACTCTTGCCAAAAGGTTGTCGCCGACCTTGCGGCAGTTGCTCCAGTCCACCTCCTCTAGCCCCTTGGCGTTCTCGCTCATTTCCAAAATCTGACTGGCGGAAACATCCCAAACGCTCTTCATCTTCCATGTCTTGACATTTTTGCCACACTGCCTCCAGAGAGCCTGGAATCCTTCGTCCGTAACGTGAAAGCAGTTGCTTATGTCGATCTCTACGGGGCGCGTGCCGATGAATGGCGCCAGGATGTTGACCAGCGACCAGTCCGTTACTTTTCGGTTTAGTGGCCCAAGGTCGACGTGTGTGCATAGGTCAGGGCTTTCGGCGAGCATTTTGCTCCACGTCTTGCTGACACTGCGAAGGCGAATCATCTCGAGAAGGTCGAGGTACTTGAAAATGTTCAGAATTACATTATCGGGTAGAGGTTTTCTTGCTAGTTCTGTCGGCCGTGATAAAAACTCTCGTGAAAGCGTCCTTGCGCGCTTAGAAGGTAGGGGCGAGTCGTCCAACGTAGCTACCGGTGTGGGGGAGGGTGTAAAGAATCGAAGAGGGCTGCCCTCAACTGTAGGCTTCGTAGGGCTTACAATGGTAGACGAGTCTGTGTGTGGAGTGGGTGGCGCGAGGGAATTGCGTCGACGATTCCTAAGGTTTTCCATGTCAACGCTGAGAAAGGGATCGGGGTCAGACGGCTGGCGCGTTTCGGCTTCTGGCTTCGTCGGCGACGCGGGTTTCGAGGGCGTGGTGAATGTGACTTGGGGCAGCACAACCTGCTTTGGTGTTGTTGCGTGCTCTTCGTCGGACAAGGCGTGGCTTTCGGCGTCAGCCATGTCGACATCATCGTCCGATGCGTGGTATCGCTTCATTGCTGTCTCTTCCACCTGCAGTTTGATCTCGGGTGGACACCGCTTCCAGAGCTCCTCAAGTGCATCACCGCCGATCATCAAACACTCGACCGATGTGATGGACCGCACGGTGGCGGTTCTTCCCTCCGAAAGCCCCAAACTGGCCACCTCTCCAAAGTACTGGCCCTGCTTCAGCCTCGGGCGGATGTAGGATGCCCTCGTGAGGCGTTTAGCGTTTGGTGGGCTCGGCATTTCGTGGATTACCTCGGCTTCGCCGCGGACGATAAAGAAGATTTCGTTTCCAGGGCTGCCTTGGCGAACAATGTCGGTGAATGGCGAGTATGTCTTTGGCTGTGCGCTGAGGCCCAAGAGGTGCAAAACATCGGGTGGCAGCGTCGAGAACAAGGGAAGCTCCTTCAGGGTCTTGCGAATGTTGACGTAGCCGCTACCGAGCGCGCTGCCGCTGATGGCCGGGTCTTCAATCACGCCGGGGCTCGGCGACTTGCGCTTCTTGGTATTGACGGCCGCCCCCTCCTTGATGATGCCGATCTCCCCGGTGCTGACTTCACCCGGTGCCGCTTCTCGCGCGACAGTACCACTGGTGTCCGGTAGCTTGCTCGGTTGCCCGTTCTCCTGACGCTTCTTCTTTAGGACGGCCAGCCTCTCCTGCGCCTCTTCACGGATCGCCTTTTCCATCTGGGGGTACTTGGGCAGCTCGGCTTGGAGGTCCTCCTTCTTGAGAACAATGAGGAGACATTTCGTTCGCGCAATGATGGTCGCCGTTCTAGGGATGTCCATGAGCACGCCAATCTCGCCAAAGAAAGCGCCGGGCTTGAGTTCGGCATAGACGGCTTCGCCATCTCTCGACGTGACGGCAACAGCGCCGCGGACCAGCCAATACATTGCTTTTGCCTCGTCGCCCTCTGTCAGGATGTGGTCGTGGGCGGAGTGGGCTACAAGCTTTAAATGGGCGCCGATGGCGATCAGGAAATCGTCAGGGGCAGACATGAAGAGGGGGAAGGACTGAATGCGGTTGAAAATGTCCCAGGGCATCTCGGGGATGCTCGAGGCCGTCAGCGGGGAGGGGCGCATGGGCCGCGTCGGGTTGGCCTCGACATTGAATAACCTGATGACTGAGGACACGGAATCCTGCGCCTGCTGCTGCCCCGCCTGGGATGCCGCGCCATGTTGGGCGTGGTGGTGGGCGAGAGCCCGGTAGGCCGGAGGAGGCGGAGTGCGATTCCGCCGCATCGCGTCTGGGCAGGGGCGGGAGAAACCCCCCCGAACACCGGATGACTGGCTGTTCCTGACGATGCTATTTGGAAGCTTCCGAAATTCCAATCCGGTCCCACAGAATTATTACCGCCTGGTAATGACGTCCCTCGTCCCGCAGTGCCGTATATTGCGAAGGAACCGGTTAGATCGAGATTAGGCGGGGACGCTTCATGCTATAGCCAGTCGAACGGCGGCTTCCCCACACAGGACAGCGAGCACGGCAGCTTGGAGACGCACGTTTATGCTTCTCTCGGCCTTCTCTCGGCTCGTGCTCTTGGCTTCTGTGGGGTTGGGAGATCGCCGGATCTGGGGGAATTGGAGAACAAGTATTCTGGGCCTCGCGAGACAAAATGGGGGGATCACGAGGTCGGGGATCGGTCGTTTGCCGTCGTCAATTGATTGCCGTGATGGTTGCGCCGCGCGCGTTTGACGTTTCTCTCGGCGGTGGTTCAGGTGGAGGAATAGCGCATTGTCTTGCGAGGTCGCGTGGTCTTGATTTGGTCGCCGTCTGCCGTTCGTTCGAGGTAGATGGAGTTCTGGACGTCCAACTTGGTCAGCATCAATGCTATTGCCTCCCGGTGGCCCTCCGGCATCGCTTACATGGTGTGGAGGGGTTGAAACGCGCAGCTCCAGGACAGCGAGCGCTGGAAAGACGGATTTGGATATGCCAACGAACGGTGGGGTAATAGCAGCAGCAATAGCTGGGGCAGACGATAACTTCGTGGAGATCAGTCAGCGAGTCGGGTTGCGATTTTGGCTGAAAGGTGCGGGAACGGGGAACGGGCAACGAAGAAAGCGGCGTGGGGACCGGGAGAGCTGAGGTGCAGAGGAACGCGGTCTCAACGGCACTGTCTGGAGAACGTGGGGCCGTCTCGTCACTGCCCGCATTCAGCGAAAATCAAATTCCAAGGACCGCCGACACCGCCAGGTTCGACAAACGGGAGCTGGGCCAGCAGTGATCCGTGGACATGACGTGGAAACAACGGGAAAAACCAGCGAGGTCACGGAGCGGTGCGGATGGCGCGACGGCAGCCGGCTTTCCCACGCGGCACCTAGGCGGAATGGGACATGCAGCAGAAAACAGGGGCCACACGAGCAAGCCACAGACCAAGCTGCAGTTTTGCGTCCTTCGCGCTGTGGGGTGTTTGAAGTGTGTGTGAAGATGTGCTCGTGCTCCGCTCGGGGAGGACTGACAGGGCGACGAGATGCAGCAAGATGAATTGAGAAGGAGCTCGGCTGCTTGTCGACTTTGACTGGTCTCGCTCGAGCTTAGGCCTAAATTAGCTCATGGCGGGGCGCGGAGCAGGTGGTTTCTAGCGCACAGAAGCAATGGCGAGACGACGGGGAATTACGAGAGATATGGAGGAAATTTGACGATGGAATTGCCGATGGCCTTCTCGCAGCGCGGACAAGGCTCACGGGCGAGAGAGTTGGGCTGGCGGATGAAGGATATTG